CTTCGGCCCCGAGGCGGGCGTTTGAGGAACAGGCAAAGGGGGAGGGGAGCGAAGAGCCGAGCCGCGATGTGGAAATAACGGGGTGTGAAGAAACCAGGTTGGGGGCGGGGAGGTGGTCTAGAGAGTGGGCGTTGATGCTGGCTCCCCGCAGGTGAGAACGGAGAAAGGCTGGGTGAAGGGAATGGATCGTGTCCGGGAGGCCGGAGAGCCCCGGGGTGGAACGGGGCGGGGGCGGGGGGCTGATTTAGTGGAGGATTAGCGAGCTTCAGAGGATTGTGACAGGTGGGTTGTAGGAGAAATAAATGCTGTTAGGATTTTGAGAGGAGTGGTGGTGGAAGGGGTGGCGTTGCAGGTTTGCAGACAGGTGTTGACACAATCTTACATTGGGTGATAGTCCTCCAAAAGAAATTGTTTTTGTTTGCCAGGAGGATCAAGAAGTTCTGTTACTGTTTTGGGGCTAAACTGAATGCCAGATTTTTCCGAGGCTCTGAGGTAGAGGAGGCGTGATGAGAATAGCACAGGGAGATTTGGGAGGGAACTGCGGATAGTCCAAGATGGATCCTTGGCTGCATCTGCAACATAGCCTGCTCTTCACGGGCGCATCGTGGGGGTGGGGGCACCCAATGAGTTGCTGTTTTCTAGAAGATAATAAACACAATCATGCCAAGCCATCACCATGTTTTGATTTCATGTTTTCGATGGCCTATTCTCGATAGCAATATAACAAAATGGAACGTTTACTGAAGGGAAAACGAGGAGAAATTCAGACAAAGCCTGGGCTGCTTGGACCCCCTTCTCCGTTGTCTGAAAAGACGAGGAGGCTGCTGGCCTCCTTTAGTTTCTATTGTATGTCTGCCTGCTGGTGGGAGCTGCCAAGCAAACACCCCTCGTGCAGAGATCTGCAGTGCAGATGCCTTCTTGAGGAAAATATGTCCGCTGGCAGGTGGTGGTTCTTAAAGGAACTGAATCTTTGGTGGGAAAAAAAAATGCGATTTGTCAAAGGAAGAATTTTGAGAGGTTTAAAAAATGCTTTGTTATCTCCAGCGCACTCTTGGGTTGATCATTCTAATGAACGCAACATTCTTAATCTTAGCATTAAATATATTCTCTTGTGTTTCCTAATACTGACTGTCCACCTGGCTGAGAGCTTTGTTGCCCTGCCGGATCTTCCAGGGAGGGTATAGCCATTTGGGTAAATGGTATGGGAGGAAGCTTCTGCAGATAAAGGAATGAGGCAGCATATTTGGAGCCCTGGTTCTATTTAAACCACCAGCATTTCTCCTCCAAATTTTTGTGTTCTGGGCTAACTTCCAAATGAACAGTGGCTTTCTATAACTTAGCAACTTGGTCCCTTGGCTTTAATTGCATCACTACTTACTGTTTGGTTAGCCTCTTCCTATTCACAATTTCCAAATTTCTGATAAAGATCTAGGTTTTAGAAGTTGGCCGTTTGTGCTCAAAATCAGAATTTAAGTATTGAGGAATACTGGAGGATAGCAGTCAGGGATTAAAATTTTAGTCCTGACTATGATCAAATGGTGAAAAAAGATTTTTTTAAGACAAAGTAGTAGTTCAGGCTGGCTTTGAATACAAGAATGATTCAGCCTTAGCCTCCACTGGGACCATAGGTGCATGCTACCACACCCAGCAAGAATCAACATTTTTATTCTTTTAATGCATTGTCATGGATTGGCTCTGTTGGTGCATCAGAAAAAAATGTAAGCATATACTGCCACCAAGTGAATTTTATATTAGCAATACAAATACACTAACATGCAGAATTTCTGTTTAGCTTATGTTTCTGATATCTTTTGCTCGTGTCACATTGTCACAATTTTATAATTGCCATTTCCCTGAGTATTTTTGATTCAGTCTCCTTCTGGAACATTCCTATCCCAGCAGGTCTTGAACTTGTGGCTAATTTTCTATCTGAGCATTTCAAATTCTGGGAAAATAGGCATGAGCCACTATGCCAAGCTTTCTTGCTTTTTTTGTTGATTTGTTTTATATTGATTTAACATACCTCTCTTTGGTCTCTCAAGACAGGGTTTCTCTGTGTAGCCTTCACTGTCCTGAAACTTTAGATTCTCCCAAGTGCTGGGATTGAAGACATGTGCTACCACCGCCCAGCTTCCAACATACTTCATGATGGTAGTGAGAAAGATGCTAAAATGAGACATTTTTTGTCAACAGTGAAATTCATATCTTGAAATGGTATTCTGAGTAGCTGGGTTTGCATACTGCACTTTCCTAATAGTATAAATCCCCCAAATATTACCCATTTTTCTTCATTTTAGTATAGAATTGCTATTTTTGACATCAGTTGTAGATATTTTGTCACTATTGACACTTAGTGAGGTTTTCTCTTCCCCTTGCCTGTTTTATGGCACTGTAGATGGATCCTAGGTCCATGCTGCTGCTAACACACACTTTACCACTGAGACACACTTCTAGCCCACCACTGGCACTTAAAATAGTGTCTGGCTGTTGTAACTACAAAAGTACTCAATAAGTTTCTGTTGAATGAATCATCAGGTTTACAAGCTGGAAAGGAACCCCTGAAATAGACACTAAATGAATGTCTGATCATAAACTCCTCCCCATTGCCAATTTACTGATATTCAGAGAGCAGTGATAGTTTCAGTGACCCCAGCGCAAGATTCTTGTTGTTCAGGTGACTACTTGAGACTATAACAGGCTGTCTTAGGGGGCTAGTGAGAGACCAGTAGATAGGGTACTTGCTATTGAGTTAACACCCTAAGTTAGAACCCTTGGTCCCACATGCTAGGAAAAAACTTCTGCCTTCCTCACACAATGTTTTTTTAAAAAGCTTTATCTTTATTTTTGAGTTTTATGTGTATGACTGGTTTGTGCCTGCGTGCATGTCTGTGCACCACTGCATGCAGTGGCTAGAGGAGGCCAGAAGGGAGCCTGATTTCCTGGTACTAAGTTTACAGATGATTGTAAGTCACCTTGTGGACGTTAGAATTAAACCTAGGTCCTCTGAAAGAGCTGCCCTTAACTGCTCTTAAGCACTGAGCCATCTCTCCACCCCCTCACATAATTTTTTTTAATGTTTTTAAAAAATCATATGACCATGCCACAGTAAAATACATTTGTATTCTAACCTGAAGAATCATTTTAAAAATGCTGGGTGTGGTGACATGTATCTTCAATCCCATCACTCAGGATGCAGAGGCAGATAGATTTCTGTAAATTAGAAATCCCATCACTCAGGATGCAGAGGCAGATAGATTTCTGTAAGTTAGAGTCCATCCTGGTCTATCTAGAAAGAGTTCCAAGCCAATCAAGACTTCATAATGAGACATTGACTCAAAAAAGCAACAGAAAACAAAGTCTTTTGAAGTACCTGAATATGGTACCTGTCATTTGCATTTTTGATATTGAGATAGGAGGTTCATCAGCCTGGTAGACAATACTGAGAGACCCTGTCTCAAAAACCAAAGACACTGCAGCAAAATCACCATTTTTTAATAGCCCTTTCCTCCACACTTCTGTTTGTCAGAGAAAGTGTCTCAAAGTCTGGCAAGATAAAAATAAGATGAAATTTGTTAGTCTAAAATTTAACTTTTTAAAAATGGTTCCTAAAAGTTCTGCTGTGGTTGTAGAAAAAAAATGCAAACATTGCTATCAGTCTTGAATTTCATGTTCTTTACTAAGTTTTTAAGTTGTTTTTAGTTAAGAGTAAGTGTTGCTTAATATCCTGAAAAAAGTTTTGTGTTTGCTGACCTGCCCAGTAATGAAGTTTAGAAATAGTGGTCTCTGGTTATAGGTAGAAATGAGTAACTCTGGCCCAGTGTGCAGCAATTCGTGATAGTACTCTTAGAGAAGGTGAGGGGCCGGGATGCCTTCCCAGATTTCTGCCTTTGAAGAAATCTTGAGTTTCAGAGGCAGACATTTGAGGTTGAGGTAAACGAGACAGAAATAT